ATTGATGCTATTAAATTTTTATACTGAAAATTCGAGCGGACAGAGAGATAGAGGGTGGTCACATGTCATATCTCAATTAAAGTCGGTCTGAATGAAGATTTTTCTTCTTAGCATTTACAGGTTTTTTTTTTTTTTTATAAAACTCATCTCTTTCTTTAAAATTGAGTGTTTTGCCATTTTATAATAATTAAAAATACATAAACTTTTTATAACTATAATGCCTTAATTGCTATAAAAAATCACAAGTTTATGACTCTTTTCAATTGTCTTATAAGACTGGCCAGACGAAGAAATCAAGATTCCATTGATAGCTGTTTTTTATACTCCCATACCACGAGGCAATTTGTTGCAAATACATAATAATAAAATCTCGTAACAGATGGCCACATACAAATTTATTTATTTATTATGATTAACTACATAAAAGTTATTTTTAAAATAAAATCTCGTAACAGCCAGGAAAGTTACACAACTGGCTGCTAGAACTTTTTACAACTTTATTATCGTCTTAATGATGATTGGAATTAAATCGCGTTAAACTAGAATACTGTACAAAGTTGAGAAAACTGCGATTTTAAATTTTATTATTATTTTCGTTCTGTTGAGATAATTCATTTAAATTTTGTTATACGATTTTAAAGGATAACGTATCGCATCATTATTTTTGGTTTAGTGCATCCTGGACACGGCATATCCGCTCCATCTGTAATAAATCCTTTTCCACGAGCGATGTTTTGCACACCGCGCGCAAGAAGCAATCGTTACTCCGATTTCGGTGTTAGAAACACGTTCGAGTAATGCCTATAATATATATAATAAAAATCGAATAAATGAATTAAACTTCTAAGTAAACAAACATTGAATAAAACTAACCGATAACTGGTGTGTTGCAGCTGGTGCATCTTTCTGCAAACAATTTTCCGAAGCATTCGACACAGTACAATTTATCGCCATTGGGTGCGAATCGCTGTCCAGCCAAATACACCTGACAATACAGCCGTTAACAATAAGATGTTTTTTTGTTCTCCTACAAAACAATATATATTAATTATTGCTGCAGCCGATGAAATTATCGTGATGTAACAAGCGCGTGCACGAACTTTTACAATATATTTTTTATTTTTACTTTTCCACTCCGCGAGCTTTAAGACGGTCTTTTTCTACGTCAATTGTGAATTCGGTCAGCCCCACAAAGTACTTGATTTAAAGGCCCTTTTAATACTTTTTTACATAAACTGTATAAAAGAAAAAAATTGTGATTTTAACAGTTAAAATAAACAATAAAAATTTCTTTTCAAAGAAATTTGCAGTTTAACGAAGGCAAAACTGTGAAAGCGGCACCACGCGATACTCGAAAGTTTTTTCATGACTGAAAAATGTATAAAATTGACAATTTGGCACACGAAACATCAAAATTTATATATACAGTACATTATTTATAAATGGATTCTTGTTGATTTGTCGTTTATACAAATCTTCATTCTTAAACCGATCTAGATTAAAGTTGGTATGAGTACTTACATCCTAGAATCGACACTAAGCTATATAAACAAATGGACAAGGGAGCATTACATCGACTAGTAACTGATCACGGCTCTGCTGGTATCAGAGTTACTGTTGAATTAGATATATTGTTAACGTATTATTGTAAATAAATTATGTATACAGTTGCAATACATATGTATGTATAGTACTGTACGTATGTTTGTTACGCAAAGGGTCCTATAACGTTCAACTTATCGGCACAAAATTTGGCATGATATTCTTCGTCAACCTAGAAAAAATACTGTGTAGTCCCCATCCCCTAAAGCGCGCCTCTTTTTTAACATAACGCAAGTAATTTTTTGTTATTTGCAGTTTCATTATTATAAATACTCGGGTATATTTATTATAAATATACACATTCCAGTTACTAAGTCTATTGTTTTTTATCACTTTTCAATTACAAACCACTTCAAAAACCCGAACCGGGCACAAGTCGCAAGCCTAAGTACTCGGAATTGCTCAAAGATAAAAAAAATATTTGACATGATTTAGTAAACATTGTAAAAATAGAAAGAAAAAGTTAATGTTTTTTGTTGAGTGTAGTTGAAAAACACTTTCTCGAGCATGCAATGACAGAGAATGTTTTACCCAGAATTAAACCTTATTTCTACGGTAAAGCTTCATTTCGTTCTATCTTCCTATTAAAAATATTATTATTTATTAATTAATTAATAATTATATTTGTATTGTATTCATCTGTGTCTTATCTGCAACGCTTTTCAATTAAAAAAAGCTATTCTTACATGTAATTGTACAGCACCGTATAATTGACCAAGTCGCCATTGTTTGACGATGGAGCAATCGAATGACAAAATATATTCGTTCGACATGATTCCTACAAATGTAGTTTGCCATTCTTCTCTGTGTTTTCTTCGTATTTATGGTTGGTGGCTGCGGGAATCGATAAGAGTATCGCGTTGTTTTCTTTATCAAAGAAGAGACGACCAATACGCAAACTTTATGTTTACGTCGTATTACGTGGTCGAAACTCTGTGCTGGGGAACATTATATAAATTTATGTATAAGTATTTAAACGACGATCAATTGCAACTTAAATTTAATAAAACGTCTATATCATCATACTTGTATCCAAACAAAACTTAGAAACATGATATTTATTTATGGTTTCCTGTTCATATTACAATTTAAACAAATTGCAAATACAATAAAACCGCTTTATCACATCAATTCATAATTTGAACTATAACGATTCTATTTCTACCTATTATCTTCAAAGTAAAATTGATAAAATATCAACCTTATATTAGAAACAACTGCTCTTAAATGGCTTTAAGTTACTTAAGCGACAAAAAACAGACTGTTTTCTCTTCGACTTAATCAACGTTTCTCAACCTTTTTAAGCTCAAGGACCAGTAAAATATCTGATATGGCCTATAAAGATATGTAGACCTAATAACATAAAAAAAGCATATATAGCATATATATGGAAACATAATTAATTAAATTGGAAGTAAACTATTTAAACTCTCGTAGACCAACAGAATAAACAACTCCAGAATAAAAAATAATTATCTGTTACTAGAAATCAAACTAGTAGTGGACCAAACAGCACCTTTAGACCAACTGGTACAGTTTTGGAATGGTTTGAATAATAAAAAGAAAGAGTTAAATAATTATAAATAAAGGAAACCCGGATGATAGTCCGGAGGAAGATATCTAAAGGCGAAAAGATGGCAAAATATGGCAATATGGAACTCCAATTAACAACTGGATAAGATGATGATGATGATGATGTTATTGACGATGATAACTAATCATAATTTAGTTTTTTATTTTAAATTAATAAAAAAAAAATGTAATTTAGAAAAAAAATTATCGAAGAATTAATAAATTTTATCTCTATCGTATATTGATGAAGTAATATTAATTCCGATTCAGTAATCTATTATCTTTAAAAAAAATTAATCACGTGTGAAAATTAACTTCTGTTGTTTCATTTTAAAAACAAGATGGTTTTTTTTTTTTTTCTTTTTTCCGAAATAAATTAGAGTTAAAAATTAATATTTAAAATTTAATTGTAAAATAAATCTTGATTAAAAATAAACTCACGTTATTGTAAATGCAATTATTTTATTGATCCAAGATTCGCCATTCTTAACTTTACATCACTCTCCGGTTCTTGTGTAAAGTTAATAATAACGATATAGCATCATTCGAATAAATAAATAAAATTATTTTCTTAAATTTTGTTCTTAAGAACATTATTTATTTGTTTATACAATATAATTAAAGTGAATAATTAAATAATATAAATAAAGTGTAAATAACAAAATGAATTTATTACCAAAAGTTAGGTACAAAAAATGGTTACTTTTCGACATAATCACAGTGAAGATTGAGGAATTTGTCATATCTCTGCTCTCTTAGACACTTTTTCTGTTCAGGAAAGAGGTGAAAGTCGCGGCGCTAAATCGGGGTTATACTCTGGGTGTTTAAAGGTGGCGAAGACTTCCAACCCAGCTTGGAACTTTTTAATGTGTGAAGTCTTCCTCTTTCTTTCCTGAACTGAAAACGTGGCTAGCATGGCAGATATTTGAGGCTAATGACGATCTTCAAAACAACGTTGTTAAGGCCATCTCAATTACTGGCAACAACGTTCTATAAGAAGGGGATGAAAAAGCTCGTCCACAGATATGACAAATTCCTCAATCTTCACGGTAATTATGTCGAAAAGTAACCATGTTCGTACCTAACTTTTGGTAATAAATTCATTTTGTTATTTACTCTTGTCTTTATTTTATGAGCCATCGGAGCTTGAAAAAAAAAACCGCCCTCGTATATAGCAGGGGCGAATTCTCTGGGATTTCCGCACGCTTAAGAGAAAGTTTTAACTCAATATATTTACAAATATGCCAATAATAATTTATTCTAACGTGTAAACTCTTTTATCATTTGTATATATACACATAAATACACATAGAATGGCTTAAAGAAAGTTAACCACTGTAAAAAATAGATTAAAAATAGATTCAAATACTTAAATATTTGCTCATATTTTAAGTTATATTTTCACTAATTTTGCAAGAAAAAAGTTGTAATTCCTTTTGCAACTCATAATTGAGAGTATCTGGAATTACAAAACAATCATTTTGTGCAATGGATGCTAAATGCATCAGTTCGTCCGAACGATATAATATTTTAATGTGTTTGGTATGTTACGTTTGTATATGAAGTATTATAAACATAGAATTACTCTTAATTTTCTAATTTTTTTTATTATAATATCTAATAACGACCCGAAAAATGTTACATTTTAAAGCAATGCTTAGAAACTTCTATCGAAGAAAAGGGCGTAAGGATTGAATTGTGAGAAAATGTAAATTGCCTTCAGACTAAACAGGTGTTTAAAGTCACATTAAAATAATCTGCAGATATTAGTATCAAAGATTATAATATCGAAAGATTATGACTTTAGGTATAAATACTGGGTTAGTTTCACTCTTACAGTAGCTTACTGGGAAATCTAGTAATTCCATCATTCAACATGTTGTTCTACCTTGCAGCCTTATTCACGGTGGCTTTGGCCCGAAATGGTAACATTTGAGATAATTTTTTAATGATTTTAAGATTTTCTTAACTGAATATTAACGTTTTCTTACATTTTCAGTCGATTTGCCGTACATTGCATTACATAATCCCGATCTATTCCAAGGTGACATCATCGGTGTCGAAGATAACGATGTAAATTCCGTTTAATTCTAAATTATTATTAAAATCACTTTTAATTCCATATTATATTTAAGTTTTAAATTTAATTTCGTAATTATATTTAGGTGAGAAATGCCATTCCAAATCTAAGTGCAAGATGGCCAAATGGAGTTGTACCTTACATCGTCGACTATTCTCTGAGTTGGTTAACGACTAATTTTAAAATTATTTAAATATATTTTTAGATTAAAAATTCACAGTTTGTTTATTTAAATATAACGTTTGAAAAATTTTCTGTAGTGGCTCAGTCACATTTGATCAGTCAAGCCATGCAGCATATAATGAGTGTAACCGGTAGTGCCCTTAAATTCGTCAAGAGGACACACGAATCCAATTATATTAGAATGTTTGCTGGAGATGGGTAAATTATTCGGTTTAATTTTATATGTTTTTATTTTTTTTAGATCTTTGTATATATAAAGCATTTTATTCGATACAGTTGTTACTCTCACGTTGGACGTACCGGAGGTGCTCAACCTCTATCACTCGGCAAAGGTTGCCATTTCGTAGGAACAATTATTCACGAATTACTTCATGCCTGCGGTTTCTATCACGAACAGAATCGATCTGATAGAGATCAATACCTGGTTATTCACTGGAATAATATACAACAAGGTACGTTATCGTTTAGGAAATACGTTAATTTGTACAAATTACAACAACGTATAATTTTCATATTAACAGGAATGGAATCCCAGTTTGCTCTTCTTCAACCACACCAGAACAAAATCTTTAACGCTTTCGACTACAATTCTATTATGATTTATGGAGAATTCGCATTCTCTAAGGTTCCTAACCGTCTTCCGACCATGCAAGATAAAACAGGCAGGCATCGTCTTACAGAACCTTATAGTAAGAGTGGCATGACCAGTAGCGATGTGGAACGTATCAAGAAATTGTACGCCTAATAAAAACGACGTATTTCAAAAATGACACAATAAAATTACTTTAGAAATTTTGGTATTGGTTATTTATTATTATATTCTCTGCTCCACCCAATTCCCGATCACTTCGTCACTTTGTAACAATCAATCTCGCTTCTCTTGGTTCTTCAAACGTTTCGTGATGATTCATTGATTTCCGGTGCCTCCGTTCTATTTGTTTTTGTGACGGAAAAAAGTGTCATGGAGATTTTAAACTATTTTAAAATGGAGTACATTAAATACCGTGTTATTAGAAGAAGCTTATACAGTATTTAAAATGAAAATATTAATTCTGAAGCGATATCGGCCATGGCACAGCTTCGTTTAAATAAAATATATATCAGATTTCAAATAATGCAGTATAATTGCTCTCGTTTGTTTGCTTTGAGAGACCATATAAAAGAGAAAAGTCAAAGAAAGTACAGCAATTATATAGAGAAGGAATAAAAAAAATATTATAATAAGAGACATAATGGTATCTTACCAAATACAGTCGACTTCCCTATAACACTGTTGATTTTTCCGTTTTATATGAATTCCATGTTTTACAGTACCTTAGATTTTACAAATACATAGCCGTTCACAGCCAGGCACACGTATTTGTAAAATCAAAGGTATTCGTACAACATGGAATTCATATAAAACGGAAAAATCAACAGTGTTATAGGGAGGTCGACTGTATAACTAACTATTGGATCATACATCTTGATACAAAACTCGGTTAAATTTTATTTTGTGATGAACTTCGTACACGTTAATGTACCATATTTTGAAAATGAATCGTTTTTCACAATAAAAAGTTTATTTTCTTTAAATGTAGACCAATCCTTAAAAGATATACAAAAAAAAAGTCGATTTATATATTATCAATAATGAACATTCGTAACTCATTTATTTTTTACAGACGATTTTCGGGCAGCAATCGGGGAATGCCCCTTTTCCAGAAATTTCGTGGCACAGGGCTGGATCATAACGTTCTACCGGACAACTAGAAAATAAAAATTTTTAAAAAATAATAATTAATTCGCTTGCATTTTAAATTTCTAAACGATTGGCCAATCTAAATCATTATTATTATTATTTTTTGTCCGTAGAAAAGTTAATCTCGTGGGTAAACAATATATTGTAATTTAAAAAGAAAAACTTATAGAATTTAAATATCTCTAGCAATTTTACTATTAAAAGTTCATTAGAATCTAATCTACTTACTGAGAGACTTTGAGTGTGACTTCGGGACCTCTCAATTGACAAGTATATTTGAAGCATCTATCGTTGTCCGACCATTCTTGTCCATTGTCCAGTTTCTTCCCTCCGATAGGGCAGAATCCTGAAAAAAATAATATAAATTACAATAGTAAGTTATCTCTCAATTAAGGAAAGATATAAACGCGATTACTTACGAAGGAAAGGATCAACGTGGGCCGCTTCCACCGCAAAAATGACGACGAACAAGAGAACGAAGAGTGCGCAAGATTTCATTTTCGAACTGTACACAAGCTCGTGAAGAGTTGACTTTTATATTATTCGAGTGTGAATGTCAAGGCTGAAATTTCCTCCGAAACAATGAAGCTGTACCGAAACAGATTGACAGCTGATGGAAATTCTTTGAAAGTAAACGCCAACGTCTATCTACGTCACAAATCTATTAATTGTTTTCTATATTAACTTATATTATTTATTTAACTTGAAAAATTTGCAAAATTCATATTAATCAATTTTATTTAGGGAATATTACAAAGTTTATTAACTTTAAAATCAATATTACGACTTTCGAATGTGATTTTTATGCACGTTTAGATCAGTAAATGACCTTGTGTTGAGGAAAACAATCTTCACCTTCATGCTGTCACTCGTCACTCTACGTTAAAATATTAAAAAGCCAAACCAGAAATTTAGTAAAATATTACGTTATGCGATTCTAAGAAAGTGTAATCTTATTTGAAATGTTTAGCTCCTCTACACTATTCGAAGAATCTAAAATAATAAAGCTGTGTCCCGGATACATCGGGACCCATCCCTCACCTCACGGACTTGTCACGAGCGTGGAAAAAGACCCTGTTAGTGTCAGCTGGCAGAAAAAGTCAAAAATTAAAAACAAATAAATAAAGCTTACTTATAATTGATACTTTAATGTCGTTTCGTAACTAGAAAGCACTGGATACGCCTTCCTCTCGTCGGTCTTTGTTTTTTAGTGTTTTATTCACTTAAAGTAATCTTGTCTTCTTATCATTTCTTTGATGTCTTCCCTTCCTTTTCTTATAGGTTTTTAGCGTAAGAAAACCTTCTAAAGAATGCATTCCATCTTTATCTGTTTACATGCCCAATCAAAATGCCACTTTAGTGAATTTAGTTAATAAGAAATTGCAGTTATAAAATGCATATTTTAATTTTAAATTTATTATTTAAACTACACAGAAATATACTGTAAAACACCGCATAACTTTAAATTAATTAATAAGTAATGTCGTAATTACGAAAGGCCTTTTAAAATGTCAAAAACAATTGGTCCTATTCAATTATATTTTCGTGTAGGTTTACGTGGAAAAGTCATAAATTTAAAACAAGAATTAAATCTTCTCCGAATCGCGAAACGTAATATTTTAATAAATTTCTATTTAAACTCCTATATTTTTATTCTTTTGACATTGAGTGACAAGCGAGAAAGCAATAATATAATCACGAAGATTGACCTCCCCTTAACAAGGTCATTTATTTATTTAAAAGTCACATTTACAAGTCAGATGGGATTTTTAAAATGAAAGAATCTTACATTTAAAATAATAATAATAATAATTTATCACTCAGTTATGCAAATTTTATAAATGTTAACATAGAAATAATTCATAGATTTGAGAAGCAAATAGACGATGACGTTTATTTTCAAAGAATTTCCATTATTATTAACCTGTTTCGATATAACTTTTTATTCTTTCAACCTTGACATTCAAACTTAAATGTTATAACAGTAAACACATAACAAAGTGGAATGAAATCCTGCGTACTCGTCCTGTCGATAATCCTAATCTTTGCACTGGAAGTGGCTCTTGAGGATCCTTTTCTTCGTAAGTAATTGTGTTAACGTGGAAAACTTCGGCACGCTTAGGAATGAAAAAAATTTTCTTAATTTGTTTCTAATTATTAAATTTTTTCAGGTTTCTGTCCCGTCGGAAGAAAGAAACTGGAAAATGGACAAGAATGGTCGAACAACGACGGGTGTTTCAAATATACTTGTCAATTGAGAGGTTCCGACGTCACGCTAAAAGTTTCTTAGTAAGTTAATAATTATTATATTATTAAAAATTTATTGTAAATTCGGCACACGAATTGCTAGAGATATTATTTTTTGTTAATTATATCTTGGTGATATAATTAGAATAGATCGTTATAGCTTCAGCGAATTTGAATTAGGGGTCCCATTCTTCTTCGGAGAAAAATCTTTTCTTATAAAAGAATAGTTTGAGGCTCCCTATTGATGGAGCCCTTAGATAATTGCCCTTTATGTCCATAGGATAATGCGCCACTGGCCCAGAAGGTAAAGGGGTTCCGGGGAAAAATAATACATGAAAATGAAATACGAAAATCTGCTATTTCAGAATTTATATAGAAACAAAACAATAATTTTCGAATGTTTTAATGATTCTCTTTGAATTGGTCTAAAACTATAAGGCAATGTTTAATCGAAGATATATTTATAAATTCGGATAAATAATAGAACATACAAAGTTATCAGGGGATAAATAATTAATGTATTGGATTAATTCGTTAGTGTTTACAACTTTAAACAAATGTTCGAGTATAAATTAATCTTTATATAAAGTAACTATTGTTAAACTTATCAAATTTCCCACGAATTTCAATAGTGGACGGTATAAATATATAGAAAATGGCAATTTTTATTAAACAGATGGAAAATGTATTATCTAATACTTTGTGTTGCCGTGGTTATAGCTACGGATGAGTCGAGTAGATTATAATTTGTTTCTTAATTTATTAACGTTACTTTTAGTAAATTTAATAATATTAAGTACAGTATTTATTCATTCAGATAGTCCAAGTGATGATTTGTTCGAAGGAGACATATTAGGATACGAACACGATAATGCAAGTAGTTTAATTATCAATATTTAAAGTCGAGAGTCTCGTAAATCTCTTGAGTATTGTTTTTAATTTTAGTGAAATTAATTTGTCGTAAATACACAATAAAACAGTTAAAAATGTAAATATTTTAGAGCCACACAGAAAGAAAAAATATTAAAAGCAACGGACCATTTCCAGAGAAAAACATGCATCCGATTTGTAGAAAGAATTAAAGAAAGAAATTACATCAGATTATTCGCTGGCAAAGGGTATGAAAATTATTTAATAATAATCTAAACGATTCTGTAACGCTCCAGATGCAGTTCTGTGATCGGAAGAATAGGAGGAAGACAAGAATTGTCTATGGGTAAAGGATGCATTAAGAAAAGCATCATAATCCATTCGGTTTCTATCACAAACACAATCGATGGGATCGCGACGATTACATCGACGTCTTCTGGGAGAACATTCAAAAAGGTAATACAATTACTCGCGCATATAATTATCGATAGCAATTTATAGAAATGATATTTAAATAAAGACTAAAGATATCTAATATCATCACAAAATATTGGAAAATATCGGAGTAAGCTGGGAATTTTGACTACCAGGGTTAAAATATGCCTTGCAGGTTCAAAAATCATAACAGGGAAGAATATCTTATAAAGGTACTTAAGGTGCGAAGAAACCTACGTAACATTTACTCACTTTTAACAGCGTGGGAATGCAACCAGCAATATTGTAATTCATTGGACCCCAAAACGTGCAGTTTAGATTTGAAAGCTGTACAAAGAAAACAATAATGAACTCAGAAATTACCAAATACCACTACACATGCAAATGCATTATGTAACTGATGCTCATTCCCTTCATTACTTGTTCTCGCAATATCTTTTAGAGCCTCGTTGACGTGAAATACAGGTAACCCCCGTATAACATGGAACTTCTATAGCACGGATTCACTCTAACACGATTCGAGAATTGGTACCATCCCCCGTATAACACGGTACTTTTATAGCACGGATTCACTCTAACACGATTCGAGAATTGGTACCATCCCCCGTATAACACGGTACTTTTATAGCACGGATTCACTCTAACACGATTCGAGAATTGGTACCATCCCCCGTATAACACGGTACTTTTATAGCACGGATTCACTCTGACACAGTTTGAGAATTGGTACCATCCCCCATATAACACGGTACTTTTATAGCACGGATTCACTCTGACACGGTTTGAGAAATGGGTAAAACCCTCGTACAACATGAAATGAAATAAATTTTTACATACTTAAGTA